GCCTTATAGTTTGTATGATACGATAATTGATAACAAACTAGTATTAGACAAACGTGAAATATGGTACCTTTTCGGGTTTTGGAAGATATACAACACGACTTCTGTGAGTTTGGTGAAAGAGTATTCTGCCTTGAAAACTACGAGGTTTTCAATGTAGAAGCCTCGTGGATCGTCAATTTCTAAGCCTTAAATTTGTTGATCAATATACATTTGAGAGTAACTCAGCCCCGATACTGCATTGTGCAGGTAAGCAGAAGACGACATGTACGGGAAAAATCTCAAGTTGAGACTTCTCTCGTCTCCAACGGTCTCAAAAAGTCTCAAATGAAAACTCAGATTGAGACTCCTAGTGTATGCGTTGCCCTTTGCTTACCTGCCGCCTCGGGGTTGTGTTATGTGTCTAATCTACACCAGCTCGTTCGCGCCCCGACTTTCTGTTCATAAATGATCGGGTAGTTGCGTGCTGATCCGTATACAAGAGCTCGGCACGCATCTCAGAGCGTGTGCGGGCGTCCTGCTCAGGTGTGCTGCGATGGTGTGTTTGTGAAAGGAAGGACAGGAGAACAATGAAGCGAGAGTCCATCGGAACGACCGACGCGACATCCGGCGGAGGTCCTGGCGAACCGTGAACGGTCGGCGTTTCTCCCCGGGCAACCCCTCATCAGTGACGGTCCCGGGTCATTGCCCACTTGCCATACGAAACAAGCAAAAGACACCGCGTGCAAGAAGAGGTACTCGGAAGCCGGTCTACAATTTCACTAATGCAGTCCACACGCGGAAAAAGGAAATAAAAAAGAAATCTGAATAAACGCTACGTGTTGCGTCTTTTTTCCAGTGCGATGAACCCCCGAGAGAGTTTGAATGAATTTTACGACGCTGATGGATTGCTTTTGAATTTGATGAGGCGCGACTGATCGGCATATATATGTACATACTCATGTGTTTGTTTGTTTGTTTGTTTGTTCGGATCACACTGCAGGCACCGCGGTCTACACTAGGAGGGTAAAGATAGAACGCATCGATGCAGTACCTTACACGGGAATGGCTCAAACACACGCATGAAAAACAAACAATTCCAACACGAAAATGGAAACACTCACACAAAAAAATCATTTCTTGGCGGTTTTGAAAGAAAAGAAAATGAAGGTAAATACTGCCCGTAAATTGAAAATAAAGTTTAGTTAAAAGCATCGTAAGGATTCGTGTACAATAAAAATCTGCTAAGCGCGGTCTGTTTTAAAACGAATAATGTGGAAGTATTTTCCCAAGTATCAAATTTTCGTGCCATTTTCGATTCGCTTTTTGCACGTGTGTTCCAGCGTTAAGAAACTTAAATCTTAACATAAGCTTAGCGTAGAGAACCTTAACATAAAAATGTTTCGACAACATAAACCTACAAAATACTTGATTGCTAAAAAAATATATATGTAATTTTAGAAATTATGTTAAACGTCCCATGATATAGAAGGAAAAATGTTGACTGGAAAATTACATTTAAACAAAAGGGTTCGTCCATTCATTTTTTCTAATCTGATATGATTCGTACATGAACGAATATTCAAAACCGCCCACCATGTAAATTCAGGTGGCTAAAAATATCCATGACGGTGCCGCGAATAGAGAGTTTTAGGAAACCGTTTTTGCACATGCGATACAGTACGATCGGCTCTCCAGTACGCACTACGCTTGCGCGAGCCTTTTGCGGTAGCATACGCGCAGTGCGTACCAGAGGGCCCATCGCATGTGCAAAAACGGTTTTCTTGAACTCTCTAATACCTTGCGTCTGACCATTCTAAAGCGAGTGGAGCAACATTTTCAAGAAAGGTATAGAAAATCAGTTTCCCTATTGCTGCCCTCCTGTGGCTGCAGGCGGATATAAAGTTGTTTCATAAGTAAGGTAAGGAAGTCGGAGTTGTCAGGTAGAGTTAGTGTCTATGTTATTTAGGAATAAAGCCCATAAACGCCGTGCGGGACCTGATGGTCGTGTGTGTCAGCCGAATAAGTGTCATGTTTAGATGCCACTTAAGAAATCAGGGCTCTAATTAATTAGTGCCGGCTTATGGGAAGCGCCGAAATTATTTTCAGCGATTTGCCAATAGATCCATGCAAGATTTTTTTTTTAGTACTCTATTTACAGATTGGCAGAGTTTACGTGCATTTGCAAAGAGAGTGACTTGATTGGCTTCCGGATAAAATTCCTGGCTGAGCATAAATATGTTAAGGCCTAAGCGTCAGGTGTACTTTACGCCTAATCATATGCTTTTTTCTATGGCGCTTTTTGTTTATATTTTCATTGTTCGCTTATTGTGTTTTTCAGATAGCGCAAGAAATAGCGCAAGAAATAAAAGACATTCTTGAAAGTAATTAGGAAGACACGTCTGCCATGTACAATGAACCACCTGAAGCTGATATCTACCTGTATGCATACTGGACGGATGAATATTCTGGCTCATTGATCGACAACAGGAGCGGAGGGCATCTGAGAGCCGGCACTGAAACCCTGCTGGCAGATGGACGTAGAATTGGTGTGAATAAGGCCGATGACGCAAAAAAGGACGAAATAAACTAGGTTGTTCAACATGTTGTTCTGAGATTCAGGAACAGGAGACCCGCCTGAAGACGCCACGCACTCGTCGAGGGACGGCTGGCGATGTGTTCTTTCCTAGCACGCACAAGTCTCCTTTTTTTTTTTTTAACGATGCTGTTGTAGCGTTGTAGGCAGAGGAAACGATGATACATGAATTGCCTTTGAATTTTCCAGATCGTGACGTAACTGCTCATAAAATGAAGTGACTTTTAGGGGTATGGATGCTGAAGGTATACAACAAACCTTCCGGGAAATAATGTAACTGGACAGTGGTGATGACATTCGCAATGCGATGATGGCCAACGCTATACGTAGCGACAAGTTCGTTGACATGGTGACATTTTTGCATTATGCTAATAATGCAAACTTGAAAAAAAGTTGACTAGCTGGGAAAGCTACCTTAGATGGATTTTCTGAAGGCTAGATTTGCTCAACACTTCAAAGCCGTGCGCCAGCTCAACTACGACGACAATTGAATGCTTCGCTCGCCACGGCTGCAAGCAGTTCGGAAATTCGCAGAAAATATAATGATGGCCAATAACTCCTTGGCTTACAAATGGGCTATGATTATGAGTATTGGATCCACCACCTATCAATTGAATGTTTGGAGGGAGGTGGCACAAAACTACCTTATGCAGTCTCACAACAACCCTAAAGGGGCAGGCAGACCATGCACCTCATTAGCAGACGGCCGTGTCCTCGCTGGCTTACGCTTTGGTTAACTCGCGCTCTTAGTAGCTGTTTCTGTTCCTGGGAATAAGAGGCGGCGGTATGCAGCAGACAACAGCAGCAGTGTCGTGCGCATGCAGGGAACAAAGTACACTGTCGCTTTCTGTGTTTATGTTTCAACACTATCATGCGTATTAACTAACCCTTTGTCTCTTTAAAAAAATATTTTAATTGTAACGTGTAAAATAGAAGTTTTATCAAATTTCTCAATTTTGCTGTAGACCAAAAGCCTAGCGTGACAATATGGTCACGCTAGGCTATCTCTGTCACAGATCAAATTAATCTCCATCATATTGTTATTAAATACCAATTCTCCCAGATTTAATACAAAAATACTTAATGTTGCTTGGGAAATAAAAAAAAAGATCAGTCGTTAATGGGCCATTTTATTTTCAACGAAATAAAGATACCAAATGCAAAGTCTGCGACCACATTCAACATATTTGCTATCACCGCGCGGCGTTCCCTGGGTACAGTGAACCGTTTTTAACCAATTATTGGTACTAACTTTATTCAAGAAGTTGGCCGCCTTTCGGAGTAGTACCTTTGTTTCTTGAACATGTTCATATTTCGGTTCAGTTAATATTGCGCTAAATGAAACTGTATATACGTCAATTATTTCGGTAATTTTTTTTTTATCAGTGTTATGTAGCCCCACGCTGATTGATGACTGATTTTCCACCGTCACTTCTTTTTATGCCTAAAAATCTATTTTTTTAAACCTTTTTTCAACTTTTATTATATAGTTGGTGTGCTACAGTTCTTGCTCATTGTTCCACCCAGCTTGCCGACGCGTAATATTGTCTAGAAAAAAAAACAAATACACGAGATGCGTTTTACTCTTGAACCTCGAAAATTCGGCAGGTAGGTATGTAATCCCAAAACAAAAATAAGCAACATAATTACGGATGAAACGTATGACTCTGATACCGCATATGCACAACATGTATGTCTGCTTTTCTATAGATTCGATTTGTTATAGTGCACAATCGTCAGCTGTCTTACTATAAATAAAATATCTACATTTCGCTTTAGTCTTGGGTAGACATATCTTTGCATCAACAAGGAGTGCTTACACTGCGAGACACCGACACAGGCACGTATGAACAACTCTGATTCGATCCAACATGTTGTACTCCTGAAGACAGAGTTACCGCACCCGCCCATTTTGTCCAGGGTTCATACAATTTCCATCCTCCAAATAAAGAACTCAAAGCTTACGAATATATACCTGTGAGTATGAATGCCTTTCTTTTTGTTTAGCAAAGCCAACACTATCAAAGCAGTGGCTTCCGTGTGTAATCTTTCTTGTGTCCCTCGTCTATTCTAGCGCTGTTTTGCACTTTTTTTTAACATGCACCTACTGGTTAATTTTAATGCCTTGCTTCAACACCATGCCGCGGGCACTCCGCACGCTGCACCGTCAGACCCCGGAATCACAGTGCTCTCCTCGTGGCGGAAGCACACGCAAGCCGACCTCAAGCACAACAGCGACGACACTTCTCCGTGACCGTGTCTCCGATCCAATCGCATCTGCAATCGGACACTGCCCCAGAAGCCGAGACCCGCAAGAGACGGCATCCCCGTTCTTGTCACCCTGGCCTTGGCTCGCCGAAGAGCGACCGCGACCTCCGCTATCTCCCGGCTCCCCGAAGGCGGACCCGAGAAGAGGAAACCTGCTCACCGGAGGAGCTTCTGCCGCTGCTGCCTCCGTCGCTGGCACTGGCCCGCTGCCACAGGAAGACCGCGGCCAGCGCCGGAACGACGACCACTCCTATAATCCTCATGGTCGGCGGGGACGGCAGCCCTCGAGGCTCGACGACGAAGGCTTGCGGCGCGACGTGGGCCCCGACGTCGTCAACCAGGACGCTGGTGGAGGAGACGGCGCCATGGGACGGGGACCCGTCCGCTCTTGCGTTACGGCGACGGGATGAGGTCCTCCCGGCGCAGCAAGACGGAAGGAGGGACTTGACCGCACTGCCTGCCGCGGCGGCCTCTGACGCTTCGGCATTCCAAACAGGTTTTCCTGCTGCCGAAAGAAGGCGAGGGATGTGGCGGCTTCTCTGGAGCGAGTTGGGGGTCTCTCTCGTCTCTCCCCCTCCCCTGGGCTGCTCCTGGGCAGGGCAGGTCTGGTGTGCGGTTCCTCTTGCCCCGGCGGCGGCGGCAGTACGTACTCAGTTCGCGGCGAAGAGACGAGCTCCCGGCGGTCGTTGCGGTGGCCCTGCTGGGCTGGGGTGAGGGACCAGGCGAGCCGCCTCCCTTCTGGAGCATTCCGGGACTCGCCACGAAGACGTGCTTTAGGGGAAACGTTCCAACTGGTTCCACCTCGTGTGCGGGGCGGTAACTGAAGCCAGGGAGAGAGTACGAGCGGAAGTCTGAATGAGTCATCTCTGGAGAAGTCGGGGATTCGGCTGCTCTGTCTTGTCTTATCCACCCTCCTCAACTTCTCCCAGGGCGGCAGGTATTCAAAAACCTCCCCCCCCCCCCCCCCACACACACACACCTCGCAGAAATTCGTTGCAACCCCCAGATTGACCATCCTTGATAAACCCCTGGAGCGGTGCCTTTTGGCGAGTTGATATTTCGACACCATCCCTCAATCCCTCCATTGTTGCCTACCAATGAATAACAAGGAACAACGACACCAGTGGTGAAATGCACTTATTTGTCAGTTTGTTCCTGTCGGTTTATATATATATATATATGTATTCCATTGCGTAGAAAGCGATCTTATATATCCGCCTTGTGTAATCAAACAACGCTATTGAATGCCGAGATAATTATATCCACCGCACATGCTAACTAGAATACATATTTTCAGTGTAAAATTATTTCAATAATTATCATAGCATGCATCCCATGCTCCGCAAAATGAGTGTACACATTTTTTTTTAACTTTGCACTTGGCAAAATTTTTATGAAAGGACCAAAATGCGCATTGTGCATCCACTCCCATATATATTTTTTTTTTTATCAAGGCGTGTGAACATTCAATATAAGCGCACAATGAATCTGAACATTTTTGGCAATATTGGAGTTTGACGCTAGCCGGAAACTCTAATCTGGATAATTGGCTAAAAAGTGAGCGAGGAATTCGGTAGCCGTGATTGGCCGGCACCGCGCATGACTTCGGCGCCGTTTAATCACGACGGTCGAATTCCTGGCCGACGTTTTGGCCAAGTGTCCAAATTAGAGCCCCCGGCTAGCCTCAAGCTAGAGTTTTGGAAGCCCAACTCTATCACGTCATCACATTTTCCTTAAAATCCCAAACGAGGCAGACACATGCACGACAAAAGGGCCGGCCCGTCATATAAATCTGATCACATTGAAATACATGTCATTGGCTCCCGAAACACCCGGTGTGCTACCGGCGCACAGGCAGTGTTATATTTTTTAACGCGCCGGTTTTGTTATACATGTGCCTCGCCATTAGCTCAGGATGATTTGCGCGTTTTGTTCGGACCACATTTGCTGGAGACGTGAGCTCGGAGCGTAGCCAAGTGGCCCCCTTGCACGAGAACGGCCGCAGCCGTGCGCGTTCCAAAAGAAAGCTCGCACAGAGAAAAACCGTAGAGTTATTGCAATAAACGCTAGAGGCTCAGCTGGCGCTAGTGTGCTGCATTTTGAAGCAGACGGCAAGCAGTCTAAATCCGATTTCCGGGAATGTATTCCTACGGAAAAACGCAAATGCGTTTTCTCTTCTCCGTCGATTATGAGAGCAAATATTGCTTAGTGTTATGAGAGAATAAAAAAGTTTAAGACGTTTTACAATCAGATGTACGAAAATATGTGTCGGAATGAGCGTTTTTCCTTGGTATTCATGGCGTCGAACACTGCGCTAAAATAGCTCAATACACATGTATAATACGTGTTGACGTCAGACTGCTATTATAGGGCACACATTTACGCATATAGTCAATGCTATGAAGCACACCGAGTGAATCAGCTTGAAAAAACACTAATATTATGCTAATAGATGCCAAATCAAACAATCAAAACAGACGACAAGCACGAAGCGTGGAGTTATGGAACGAAGAACACGTCCCTCACAGAAGAAAAGGTGTATTATTACACCCTTTGTGTCCCACATTATACATCCCAAAATTTCAGTTCGACGTACAGCGCACTGACGTCGGTCTGACGGTACTAAATTTTACGAGAGGCTTGATAGCCGTGTGGTATAACTTATTAAAATTGCCGATGCAAATGTTACAGACTAAAAAAAAACAAAAAAAAAAATCGTTTTTTTTTTGTTTTATTGCAAAACCTCGGTGTTTTCTTTTCGCGGTTTTTGATGCGTATATTCGCAATTTAATAAGTTCTATTACACCGTTACCAGGCCCCTTGTAAGATTTGGGGCCGTCTGTTCGATTATAGTGCACTGTACGCCGATTTTAACTTTTGGGGTGCATTTTACGAAACACAAAATTGTAAGGTGATACCTTTTTTTTCTTTTCAGTGTGAATTAGTAACAAATTGGGCATGAATAATCATTGATGGTTTGTTTTGATAGTTTTGATAGCTTGTATTCAATGATTGATAGCTTGTATTGACATTTAATAGTATCTATTGACATATCATGTTGTACAACATGGACCCGGGACTCAATTCTTGCTAAGTTAAACATCGCTCAGTAACCAAAAACAATCATTAACTAAATAAATTACACTTTTATAATGTGAATAAAGCTACATATAGTACCCGTTACGAGTAAAGAAATTACGCTGATTTTTATTATTCCCTTGCGAAGAGAAAAATATCACGAGTGTACGTTTTCCCTTAGGAATACGCGGGAAGGCTGGAAAAGTATAACTGTTTGCTGTCTGCTTCAATTTGCAACCGGAAGTCCCGTAGACACTAGCGCCAGCTGAGCCTCTAGCGTTTATTGTAATGACTCTATGAGAAAAACAAGCGAAGGGCCATGGATGTCAATTTCACGATATTGAAAAACGCCTCGGTGTATCGAAGCGCCATCGCACACGATTTCATGCACTGATGTACAGGTCTGGAAGGCTATCCCACCGCCATATGTTGGTTCAGAATCTTACTAACCAGGAGTGGGGTTGTACCTTAACATAGGTCCTTTTGTAATCGGCGAATCAACCAGCGCTTGTGAATCGCGAGCACATGCCACGCACGGAGAATAGCAAACTTCTTCGCCACTGGCCATAAAGGTCCCCTGACTAAAGGTACCTCTATGATCGTGTGAATGTGGTGTAAGACTACAGGAATCTGCATACACCAGCTCTTCGTTGTTTGATGTAGCAGAATGCTTGACCACTCAAAATAGAATAATAAAATCAAGTCGTGATAGGAGGTGCCGGCCAGCATAGGCGTGCGCACAGGGGGGGCAGGGGGGGGGGGGGGGGGGCGGCCGCCCCCTCTAATCATCTAGGGGGGGGGGGGGGGGGGCGCAAAGTTGGCCCGACTCGAGGCGCGACGGCGCCGGCGGTATAGGCCTCCTGCGCTGAAGCTTTGAACAGACTGTAGCGCCCTCATTTTGGGTAGTACAAGCTCACCTGATTGAGCATAGCCCTACTTATGGCACGTTGGTCGAGCTTTTTTAATTCTATGTGGTGCTAAAGAGCGAAAAAAACAACTTCGAACGCCAGAAATCGGCCAAACTCAACGTTGCAAGAGAATCGAAAGTGCTGAATTCATGACACCACCGCTAGGGCACGCGTCTCTTACCTCTGGGTGGTGACGTCAGAACACCTGTGTCGCGACGCTTTAATTTTTTTTTTTTTTCGTTTTGATGTCTACTTTGGAACGCGTGAAACGGCATCTCTTGGCTCACGCTCTCAGCATCTAAGCTTTGACGGCGTTCGAATTTTTGTTCTGTCTTTGCATTTTCATCGTGATCTCGCGCTCCGCACCAGAGCCGCTTCTGCATGCTTGACAGTTTGAGAGGCTAAAATTTGTACTACCCAAAACAAGTACTAACAAGTCTTATTCGCAGCACCCTCTGGGCAGCGCAGGAAGCCCATGGTTTCTTTTTCGACGGCATAAAACACCGACGCTAAAATTCCCTCCCTCTAGTGCGCGCAACGAAAAAAACAACCATAAAAACACGCCGCGACGCAGTCAGTCATCAAACAGTTCGCGACAAAATCGCGTAGAATTTTGCTTTAGACTATTCACGATTGGTGAAAAGTGCTATACCTCCCACGTGCTACAGATTTTCAGTAATCTAGTCATAAAATATTTTTACCACCACATAACATATCCATTAGTTTGTATGATGTTTGTTGAGCATGACATAATGCGCGCGTGTTATCTTGTTGTTTCTATTACATGTTTCTATCAAGCGCCAGAAAGTATAAGATTATCAACTGTACATTTGGATGCTCAGAAGAAAACAAAATGCAATGTCATAGCGTTTATCTTCAATAATTAGTAAATATTGTAACTTGCTGTTTCGCGTATTTTTATTCTGCGGTATATTCTCGTGCTTTTAAGCGTTGCTATTACGTTGTGTATTGGGTGGCGTTTTTCGTCCTCTGCATGAACGTTGCAGACGCCATATGACAGCTTTCGCCATGTGTAGGTGCACCCATGCGTTTGCCCTGTATGTATACTATATTTTCCATACAAGCAGAGTCACGTTGAGGCAGTATTTTTAAACAGTGTGCTGTTATAGATGGCATATGTGTCGTCTCTTTCTCTGGTTTAGAAAGAATAAAAAAAAATTTTGTATGCGCGTTGTGTCACTGACGCCTCAGCTGCGCAGGGACTGCCTTTCTTTGCGGACGTTTCACAAGAAAGTGAAACCTACTGCTTAATAATATTTTGCATATGTTACAATTCAATATTGTTGAAATAAACGTTTTATAACTATATCTCGCCTCAGCACTACCATATGAGCGTAAGGACATCAGTGGGAGTGCGTTGATAGAAATCGGGGGGAAGGGGGGGGGGGGGGGGGGGCGGCCGGCGGGGGCGTTCTGGGGAAACCTCGCCCCCCCCCCCCCCCCCCCCCCCCATGAAAAATTCTG